TACCCAGCTGAAATGGCAATCCTGTCTCCACGAATCCTCAGAGACAAAAAGCTCTGAATTCCGTCTCTTCCTCCTTATATTCCTTCCTCCACCAGCTATGTCCTCCTGTTACCACCTGGATAGGGCTGGGATTAAAGGCATGTGATCCCAAGTGCTGAGATCACCTTTGTGTGAGCTGTTTCTTTTAGGACTGGATCAATTTCTTGTAGTTGAACCAATAGAGATAGGTCTACCTCTTAATCTTGAGTCCTGGGATTAAAGGTGGGTACCATTACCAGTTCGTTCTATGGCTGGTGGGATTAAAGGCGTGTATCACCACTGCCTGATCTCTACAGCTTGAGGTTGGCTATGCTTTTTGAATCCTCAGGTAAATTTTAATAAATTATAAATAACATATCACCACACATGATGCACAGACACACATGCAGGCAAAACCCTTACATGTAAAATGAAACGAATACATATAGTAAAAGTTATATGAAATCCAGCGTCACTTGGGTGTCTCTTACCAAGTTGAGATAAACGCGTGGGATGCAGCCTCAGTTCCCTCTGGACTTCAGCGTCTGTGTGCTGAGCCTGAGGGAGCATTCATAGAAGACTGTACCTCGGTGATTCTGGTCTCCTTTCAATCACTGCTAATTCCTCAGCTCCCGTTAACCAGCACAGATTGAGGGAAGCAGTGGTTTCACTTGTGTGTGGGAGATCTCTGGCTGATCACAGCCATTCTTCCGCTCCTGCCTATCAGACACCATAGATTATTAATTCAAAACATCCCAAAGTGACTCAGGCGGAGTCTTTGCTTCCCTCTGAGCCTTCCCAAGGAAGTCCTCCACCATCTGCCTTGCTCCCACTTTTCTTTCCTTCCTCTCACAGAGGAACCACTGAGCTCTTACCACTCAGTGGCTTTTCCACTCCAAAGTTCCAATGCCACCACACTCCTCTGCAAGACACATGGTCAGGTCTGTCACAGCAATTTCCCACTCCTGGCACCTGGTTCTGTCTTAGTTCCTTTCTACTTATGTAATAAAACACTAAGACCACAGCGACTTACGGAAGAATGGGTGTATTTGGGGCTTTTAGTTTCAGAGGGATAAGAGTCCATCACCATCACGACAGGCTGCCATGGTGGCAGGAACAGCGGAGAGCTCGCTCACATCTCAAACACAAGCAGAAAGCACAACTAGCAAGCGGGAAATGTCTGCTCCAGTGATGTATTTCCTTCATCAAGGCCACATTTTTTCTTTTTCCGAGACAGGGTTTCTCTGTATAGCTTTGTAGATCAGGTTGGCCTCGAACTCACAGAGATTCACCTGCCTCTGCCTCCCAAGTGCTGGGATTAGGGTTTGTGCCACCACTGCCCCGGCCAAGGCCATACCCAAACGGGGCCACAAACTGTGAGCCAAGTATTCAAAATATCTGAGCCTATGCGGGTCATTGTCACTCAAAACATCACACACAATGAAGATTGTCCAGTAAAAGAAAGAAATCAAAAGGCAAAAAACATGAAAAACATGTCACCCAGAAGATGAACACGCCGGGAGACTGACTTAGTCTGCTGGATTTTTCTCAGAGAGAAAGCAGGGTGAGAGGGAGAGTGGAAGACACACACACACATGCTTACACACACACACACATACACACACGCACACACACACGTGCGCACACACACATACATCAGGAGCGATCATTGTTATTTAGAACCTCTTGTAAATATTGCCAGCCTTTTTAAAGAATAGTCCATCCCCTCTCCAGCTTCCTAAGGAATAGAACTTGGGCTCATAGGAATAGACCATGGCAAAAAGGAAACAATCCACAATTAGATCACTTAACTCCTCCCTCTGCAACCCTTTAACCTTGCCAATACCAGTTATCGGCCTGGTTACTAGGCAACGACCCCTCCCCTCCTTTGATTACAACACCCTACCTAGTTTTCCCACCCTAAACCACTATATAATGGGCCTGAGAAAAATTAAATCTCGCAGCTTAATCGGAAGGTCTGTCTTGTCCGTTCTTTGTGCCTCTTGTCCCATCATTCCAGGTTCCTGTGGGCTCACACACACACACACACACACACACACACACACACACACACACACAAAGAAAGACACACACACAAGTGCACACACACAGAGGGAGAGAAAGACAGAGAGAGAGAGAGAGAGAGAGAGAGAGAGAGAGAGAGAGAGAGAGAGAGAGAGAGAGAGGAAGAAGGAACACAGAAACAGACATTTTCCTTAAAAAAAACTTGTTGGAGATAGAGTGTAATGTAAGTAAGTCTGGTCTGTAACTCATTTTGTGTCTGAGGCTTGCATTGAGTGCCTGTCTCCACCTTCCAAGCACTGGGATTAAGGTGTGCAGCGCCACACCAGGCTCCTCTTATCTTATTAGTAATTGCCTCTATTACCTGAGTATCTTGGCCTTCCCAGAGTGTGTCACTTGATGCACAGAAGAGAGGTGTGCGGCACTGGAGGTGGGAAGGCATGAATCAGTATGGGTGGCCCTACCTTTGAAAGCCCAAGAGTTACAAGACGGTTAGTTATCAGAACCTTCAAGGATCCTCCACTTCTTGTACCGAGAAGTCATGCATAACGGCGCCTTCATTTTGGAACTGGGCATTCAGGGTGGTCCAAGGGCATCCTCAGAAATAAAGAAGTCTATAGGGAAGTCTGTAGTCCATCTTCCAGGAGTTACTGGTATCCATCTCAGGAGCGCTCCCCATTTCTTTTCAATGCACCTCAGTGCCCCCATCACCCCATTCTGGCCTGGTGTTTTCAGTTAGCTATCAGGACCTCCCTATGTATGAATGCTGTGTAATACGAAGACACAGGGACCTGCAGTGAGGCACTTAGGACTAAGCAGCATCTAAAAGGTGCCCACACTGAGGTTCCCTTTCAGGGCAGTGAAGGATGTGGGCCAGAAATGGTGAGACTGGGGGTTGTGGAGTTGCGGAACCCTGTAGGAACCACCAGCAGAATGAAATGGGGTCGCTCAGAGAAATGTCTGTGCCATGGCACACTGTGGACAGGGGACCCTCTGTCTCTTACCTTACCATCTTTCCACACTCTCTCCCTTGGAGTGACACCAGCCACCTGCCTTTTGACTCCTGAGGACATTGACTGTCTGAGGACTCCACATGATGCCCTGTCTCAGTCACCAGGGAGTGCCTGCCATCCCTGCCTTACCTACTCTGGATCGATTTCCTCATTGCTTTAACTTTTGGGTATCTGAGCATAGCTGGTAGAACTCAGCTCACGGGGTCACAGGGAATAAAAGGTGGGTGACGGGAGTGCAAGAGGCTTCCCATCTGACTACACATGACATTCATGGTTTGTCAATCACCCATGCCTATTGTTTCCCATTGCTTTTTTTAAAGGATGGAGCCATATCCACCATTGTCACAAACGCTTTCATCTGTGATCCACATGCTGAAGTATAAGCTATTTGGAGAACAATCCAAAGAATCCTTGGCACCACAGACCTGGAGGCTCCAACCTTCTCATTATTCTTTACTTCTAAAGAGCACAGGCCCTGCCCTTTCCTGCCCTTGGGATGACAGACTTCCTGCTCAGCAGCACCTTGCATGCTGGGGTCAAGGTCTGGGTCATGTGAGCACCTCAGCAAGAGCCAGGGCTTGTCAGAGAGTGCTCATTAAAATTGTTTATGGATATGAGTAGCTGTCCAACCCGAGTCTATGTTGTTTATAGATATGTGGAGCTGTCCAGCCTGGGCCCACAGAGGCACAAAGATGCCATTGTGTGACCAAGACCTGTCTCCAGATCCTGGGCCAGCTGGATCTCCAAACAGGACATTGAGGGCCAAGAATTTCAGAATGGGTAGGAAGCAGGTAGGGCACCTACTGGGGAGGGAGCTGGGCTGAGTCATGAGAGAGGACAGTCAGGGCAGCTCAGCCATTGACTCTGGATGCAGGAGGCTCTGGCTACCTTGTGCCTCTCTTGCCCTTTTGATCCAAAGGGACCTAGACTTGTGGTCACCTTGGTGGCCTGTCAGTGTTCGGACAGATGGAGTGTCAGTTTCAGTTTGATGGGGACTCTTGTCTGAGAAAGGTGATGCAATTGTACAAACCCTGGCTCTCAACTGCCTGCGTCAGGCCTAAGATTGTGCAGTGCGGGCTGAGGCTCCATCACTTCACTCAGCAGGCCCTCCGACAGCCAGCACAGCAGATGACCCAGTAGCCTCTGTGAAAGTTGCTGTCCCTGACATATCCCTTAGTGAAGCCCTGATGTTTAGCTCGGGCTTTTCCAACTTCACTGTAACATTGTGAAGCACACTATCAAGGCCATACTCCTCCAGGAGTTTAGAGTATGACGGAGGTGGTGGATGATGGGTAGAGGTGAGGAAGAAGAGGGGAGGCACTTGAGAGTAAGAAGGTAGTAAGAGAGTCCAGATGGCCCCAGGAGCAGAATGCAGCAGTTCAGGTGACTGTGGGCTTGACAGTGGCTAGGGGCTTCTCTTTCAGGAGACCCTGAGCCATCACATGGTGACGCTACCCACATTTAGGATGGGTTTCCAGGCATGAGCAGCAGAGAGGTGACATCCTAGAACACAGGGTAGGCTCTGGGAATCAATAGGACTGTGCGTGGAGAAGAAGCTCAGTCGCTTTCTGAGGCCAGCCATGGTGTCCAAATGGGGAAAGCAGAGTTAGAGACTGAACTCAGCATTGGCTTATTGGCCCAGAGTGCAGACTCTGTCCCCAACCTGACACCTCAGTCACTCATACTCTCTGGGGTCCTTCAGGAATAGCACCCTTGAATGGTGCAGACATGGTAGACCTTTTATTTTCTGGAGGTGGAAATGAATGACCACCGTATCTCAACAGCAACAAATCCACCCCCATGATGGGCATGGATTTGGCCATGACAGATGGCCAGGAGGGGCGTGGCCAGTGTCATATGGCCATAAAGGGCATCCTTTGAGGAGCCAGCACAGCGTCATTGAGTCACCTCAGTGGCCTGCCTTGTCTGGGAGCACACAGCCAGGAGATGAAGAGCCTGCTTCTGACTGTCACACTGTTTGTCCTGGTGGCTGTCCTACAGGCCCAGGATGACCTGCCCTTCCTCTCAGAAGAGAACGAAGTGAGGGAGGGAGGGATGGTGGACAGGTGTATGTGGAAGGCTTGACTGCTGTCCAGTGTCTGAGGACTAGGCTAGCACTCAGGAGGGTTTAGTCTGAGCAGATGCTGCTGGTCTCCAGCACTCATGGTCTCCTAGGCAGCAGAGGTGGAGCAGGAAGGGTCCTGGAGCAGTGACACCCAGAACCAGAAAGTCTCACTTGATAGGACCTTTGTGTGTTGTTTCCCAGTCTCCTAAATGTTTCCAGCCTTTGGAGACAGACAGTTTCTGCTTCAACTGGACCAGGAAACTGTAGTTCTAACTGAATTTTAAGAAGCATGGGGTTGGAGAGTGGAGTCTTACCAGTTTGGGGGCTGCATTTTGGTCTCTGGGATGTATGTTTAGGTTGCATGCTTATGGGCAACCTGGGGGAGACTTGGGTCTGGCAAGTGTGGGCTCAGGTCTCTCTCTTATACAGCTTTCAGGTGTCTTGTTCATAAAGGCCACAGTGGATCAGAGGAACCTGGCAAAGAAGAGGAGACCTGTGGTAATGTTCCCTCATAGAGTGACATGTCCAGAACAAGGAACTTTGGAGATCAGGACCACTGTCATGTGAGTGTCTCTGGGTATTTTCAACTTTATCTCCCCTCTTCTGTCTGTGTTTGGATACGGGTGACAGAAAAGGCCCTTCCTTTGAGGGCCACAGTCTCAGCATCCTAAAACCTGGAGGGTTTGATACTGGATTTCATTGTGCTAAGGCTGATGAACCAGGTGACCTCAGTAGAGTACAGGCCCGTGTTCTGAGGCTGCTGGTTGGTTTCCTGTTTTCCAGGTCTGAGGGCCAGTGCATTAAGGCAGTATTTCGCATTCAGAGAACAGAGGAGCCTGGTCAATACACCACCTGTGAGTCCCTGTCTCAGTTTCTTCTCCTGTTGTTGTGATAAAACATTATTTGTTTTTTCCTGGTTCAATATTTTTTAATTTTATTTACTTTTCTCTTATTTTTGTTGAAAACTTTTTCACACATTATAGTTTTTTATTTTCTTTATTTAAAGTATTACTTTTCATTTTACATACCAATCCAGTTCCCCCTCCTTTTCTTCTTCTCCCCTCCCCCAGCCTCTTCCCTTTTCCCCCCCCCCATCCACTCCTCAGAGGAGGTAAGTAAGGCCTTCTTTGGGGGAGTTTACAAAGTCTGGAATACCCAGTTGAGGCAGGACCAACTTCCCGCCCCACCCCGTATCAAGGCTGAGCAAAGTATCCCACCATATGGAGTGGGCTCCAAAAAAGCCAGTTCATGCCCACGGGTTAGGTCCTGGTGCCACCGCCAGGCCCCCCAACAGTTCAAGTCACATAACTCTCACCCACAATCAGAGGGTCTAGTTCAGTTTCATGCAGATTCCTTAGCTGTCAGCTCCCACTAGCTTGGGTCAGCTGTCTGTGTCGTTTTCCCCATCATGGTCTTGACCCCCCACTGTCTCTCTCTTCAGCTGAACTCCAGGAGCTCAGCCCAGTGCTTGGCTGTGGGTCACTGCATCTGCTTCCATCAGTTACTGGGTGTAGGTTCTATGATGACAATTAGGGTAGCCACCAATCTAATTAAAGGGGAAGACCCTTTCTGATACCCTCTCCACTGTTGCCAGGAGTCTTCACTGGGGTCATCCACTTTAATCAACACTGATTAAGGGAGAAAGGGTTTGCTTTAGCTCATAGTTCAAGGTACAGTCCAAAACAGTGGGGTATCCAGGCAGCTGGAGCATGAAGCAGCTACTCATCGTATTACACCCATAGTCAGAAGAGAGCAATGAATGCATTCACACTAGTGCTCAGGTGGCTTCACCATTTTACACAGTCCAGAATCTGATGCCAAAGGAATGCTTCTGCCCACACTGAGATGATTCTTCCACAACCAACTAACATAATAAATATCACACCCACGGTCATGGCCAGGGGAGCATCTCCCAGGTGATTCTAGATTATGTCAAGTTATTAGCCAACATGGTACCCCAGGCTGCACATGGTTATCCCTTGCCAGGCAAGCTTTGGGGTTGCAGCATCCCTGCCTTATTTACTATTCAGGAAGTCCTACCAGTTACTTCTTGATGACTTTAAAGATTGCAGGCTGGTCCACAGAAGAGACCACACTTCCCTTTAGATAGTGCTGTTCACTGACCAATAGGGAGACTGAAGCTTAGGATTTAGGAAGCAGAAAGGGTAGCTGCCAGGGAGCCAGTCAGGTAGAACCTCCATTTTCCACGACCCCTGTGGTTACAACTCCGTAGCTATGGGTGGCACCTTTCCAGGAAGAACATCTATCTTGTGATAGGGTCACAGCAAGGCCTGGAGCCAGATAACTGGGTGCTCATGGGTTATTTTAAACTGTTTCTTATTGCAGACTGAACATTGTCTTTGAAAAAGACACTACACACTCATTTCTCTTTATTCTGTAGTTTCGGGTCAGATGTTCTACTACATCTACAAGCTTCCAGTGAAGGACCACTACATCGTATACATTGAAAACATTTCACTTGAGAAAAATTTCCAAAGGGGACTCCTCATAGGTGAGGGATTCCAGAGACCCCACCTCTTGCTCTTGCTATTTGAATGTACACAGCTATACCCTGGCACTCTGTATGTCCCTCTAGCAGCTCTGCACAAGGTGTTGTGTGGTCAGTATGCATGCTCTGAAGTGGGAAGATGTGGTCTGTGCAGAACTTCCAGGGATGTGACCAAATGGGGCCTTGAACACTGACTAATAGGACAAAAGTTCTAGCCAGTGATTTACTACGTGGCATTTCCAGGGGTCTCAGGTTTCTAGCAGGCAGGCATCACTGAAAGGTTGGATCCTAACAGATACCTTATATGGGGCTTTTGTGGAATATTAATTTAAGATGTGTTACACTTGTTTATGCTGTGGAACATTTACTTAAGGATGCAAAGATGTGTTACAATCTTTTATGTTGCATTTGTTTAACTCTGTAAAGTTGCGTTACTTTGCCTGTTTAAATTGGTCTAATAAAGAGCTGAATGGCCAATAGCTAGGCAGGACAGGGATAGGTGGGGCTTTCAGGCAGAGGGAATAAATAGGAGGAGAAAATTTAGGTTTGAGAGAAGAAAGAGAGTGAGGAGTAAGAAAAGAAGGAGAGGAGGACTCAAGGGGCCAGCCACCCTGCCACACAGCCAGCCACAGAGTAAGAAGGAAAGATTTATAGAATAAAGAAAGGTAAAAAGCCCAGAAGCAAAAGTAGTTAAAGAGAAACGGGATAATTTAAGTTACAAAAGCTGCCTAGAAACAAGCCAAGTTAAGGCTGCACATTCATAAGAAAGAAAACGTCTCTGCATTTATTTGGGAGATGGATGGTGGGTCCCTCAAACAGAAAAGAGTGAAAAAAAACCCAATTATAATGGGCAGGAGGCAGAGTAGTGACCTTGAAACACAAGGTCCTTCTTGGTTAGAAAGTAGGGGTAGGTGGGTGGGTGGTGGGAGAAGGGGAGGGAGGGGAAACGGGGTTGGTATGTAAAATAAAAAATAAATTAAAAAATAATGTGACATTATTTGTCTGCCTAGGATGTCGCCTATATGTTTGGTCATACAGTGACCTTATGTTTCAGTGATACCCACTTCTGTGCACTAGCTAAAAATCCTGAGATTATATTCCTGATGCTGGCCACCTGGTCTATTCCCTTATTTGTCTATTTCCATCTCCTGAGGCTACTAAGGTTCAAGCTATCAAAGTATTGAAGTCAAGCAATCAAAAGTCCCCTTTGGGCTTCCCTAATTAACAAATCCCATCTCCATGCTAACTCTAAAGTCTCCTCCCCTCTTGCTCCCATATTCTCCAGGTTGAAGGGTCTAATGCTAGAGAGTGCTTTTGTCTTGCTGTCATTGGCTCCAAACAGAGCTGTGCAGTCACACCCTCTCTGCCTCTGATCATAGGAAGGTGTCCAGAAGAAAACCTGGAGGCCCTGGAAGAATTTAAGAATTTCACACAGCGCAAAGGATTTCTCCAAGAAAACATCATTGTTCCTGAGCAGAGGGGTGAGAAAATGCTCTGCTCTGCTCCTCCCTTCATGTCCCCTCTGTGTCACCCATGATTCTGTAACTGTTATGTAATCATATACCTTCCTTCAGCAGCAGGGCCCTTCTTATGATCTTAATCATGGGACCATCCAAACTCCAGGTGTAATGTGGGTCTTCACCCTGGACACCTTTAAAAAAAACTTTAAAAAATTTAAATTACAAAATGATCGTATTTTACATGCCAATCCCATCCTCCCATCCCTCCTACCAATCCCCCATCCCACCCCTATCCACTCCCCAGGGAGAGTTAGGCCTCCCATGGGGGCTCATCAAAGCATGTCACATCATTTGGGGCAGGGCCTAGGCCCTCTCCCATGTATCTAGGCTGAGAGAGTATCCCTCCATGTGGAATGGGCTCCCAAAGCACCCTGGACACCTTCTGATATTTGATTTTTTTCTTGCTGTTACAGAACACTGTGTTCCCAAACATGACAGTGGTAAGCAACCTTCTGAAGGAACCCTGAAAGAACCCCAAATCCTCAGTTCCAGGGTTAAAGTTTCTATCTGTTCTTGGTCCTCCTCCCATCCCTTCATTCAGGAGGGACCCTGTTTAGTCAGGAAGCAGTGACCACTCCAGGAGAATAATTCCCAGAAAATCTGTTCTTTCTTTTCCTGGAGTCTTTCCTAAACTATGGTCTCCACTTGGTCCAATTCCATGTCCTAAGTATCCACCAAACACAATCAGAGATCCACAAGGTCAAGGCTCTGAACTGTTCAGGGGCCCATGTATTCTCACAGGGACCTCCCAGAGGCTTGATGGAAGGACGACCTTTAATAGGCACCTACCTCCCAGGTAGATACCCTCTGACTGCTATTCTCATGGTAAGGGAAGGGGTTTCTCATTTGTGCTCCTCTCTCTGCCACAGCCCACCAGGACCACAACTGCTGAGCCATCTTTGCCACGAGTACACAGCAATGACCTCACTGGACTTCTCTTACTCTGGACCACACTCCACTGAGCCGTGTACCCCTCCCTGAGACCCACTCTTTCCATGATTGTTACTCCCTGTGGACCACCATCCTTCTTTAGCTTTTAACCTGGTCTCTGCCCCTGTCTGAATTCAATAAAGAGTTGAGCATGTTTTCCGTGTTCGGATTTTATGCGGCAGGTCTTCTTAGTTTCATGGCTGTCAGGTTTTTCTTTGAGCCACCAGCTCACAAATCATGACAATAATAAAAGACCAAGAAACTGATATTGGGGTTCAGGCTTCAAGCTGAAGATAAGAAAAGCAAAGCAGCCAAGCCACTAGCTCTTACTTCTACCTCAGGCTGAGAAGGGCTGATCCTGTCTCCACTGCCTCTCCTCAGTGTGGCTGAAGAATCATTGCCTGATACTGACTACTGAGGACCCTGCTCCTGTCTTTTACACCTCTCTAATGCTGGGATAAAAGGCATGAGCTCTGTTACTCTTTTAGACTGATTCAGTCTCCTGTAGCCCTAGCTGGCTCAGAAAGATCCACCTGCCTTTGTCTCCTGAGTCCTGGGATTAAAAGTGTGTGTGCCACCACTGCCTGGCTTCTATGGTTAACTAGTAAGACTACTTTGCTATTTTGATCTTCAGTGGCTTTAATAAATCATAAGCAGTATATCACCACAGTGGAGACTTATTATTAATTATGAAAGCTCTGCCTATAGTTTAGGCTCGCTCCTAACTAGCTCTTTTAACACAAAGTAACCATTTCTATTAATCTACTTTCCATCTTGTTACCTCTCTTCCATCTTGCATCTTCTGCTTCCCCTCCATGTCTCCTGGTCTCCGCTGCACCTCAATTATCCCCTCCTACTTCCTTTTTCTGTCTGGGAGTCCCATCTATATCTTTTTTCTAGCTATTGGCTGTTCAGCTCTTTACTAAGCCAATCACAACAATACATCTTTACACAGTATTTCCGTCTGAAAGAAATAGGTACACAGATCTCTACCCCTTCCCCTAACTTAATGCTGTTCCTGCTCAGTCTCCTCTGAAGCTTACTGAGTCTTGGAGATAGGAGCAGACACCTTTTCTTTCTTATACAGTAGTAGTTATATATTCTCACAACTTGGGCAACTATGAGTCTCTGCAGTAACCAGTACTGATTGGAAAGAAAAAGTAATGGTTTCCCTCTGTGGTTGAGGCTGAATATGGCAGTAATCTGCGAGCATGGCCGCATATGTTTAGAAGACATTTTTACAGGAAGATCATTGTTGTCTAACAAAACAAGAGCTCTAATCACATCCCAAGGTTTTGACCTTGGTGGCCACACGTTTTTGCCCTTGCTCACAGAACTGAACAAGAGCTCCCTTCTGTGCAGCGTGTCTTAATTTCACTTGTAAAGCAGTTGGTTGTGCCCCTTGAAAGGATGAAAATTGACAAGGTGGGTACCTCTGGTGGGTTCTGCCAAGGTATGCCCCTAAGAGAACAGGTGGCCATGTGCAGCAGGGCTAGTGCAAGAGGTTTATTGGGGTAGAGGAGTGGGGACCAGTAAAAGAACAAATGGCCATCTTGGTCTTGGAGTGGGGACATCAGACAGACAGACAGACAGACAGGAAAGCAAGGGGAGCAAGAGCAAGAGAGAGGACAGCGACAGACTGGCAGTTTTAAAACTGCTATTATTTTTTATTATTTAAATTTATTTTATATTCCACCATAGTTTCCTTTCCCTCCTCTTCTCTCACTCTCCCCATAACACCTGTGCCCCTAAAATCTACTCCTCTGTTTCTGTTCAGAAAGGGACAGGCCTCCTATGGGTGTCAACAAAGAACTAAGCTCCTCTCCTCATATTGTTATGCCCAGGATGCTGGACCCTCTCCTCCTCCAAACATGACCACCACAGAGCCAAGTACTGATGCAAACACACAAGGGTTTATTAAGAACAAATTTGAGTTGGGGCGTTCATGTAGCACTCTGACACAGGGGGTGAGAGGCAGGGGAGGGAGCTTATCCAGGGAAAAACATCAAGCTAGGGGAGTGCAAGCCTTGGCCTTTTTTGATAGTTTCGGGGAGATGCTTCCTGGGCCTATTGGCCCTGGGGTTAAGTAAGCATTTGGAAATTTCCACTAGAGCATCTGGTGATCTATTGGGATATCTGGTGACCATGGTAAGATGCGTTTCCTCAGTGTCAGGCTGACTCAGCAGGATTTTGGGGCCCTGGAGCAACTTTTAGCTGTTTGTAGTTTTTCTGGGAACTGGGTTCAGGGTCTGGTCAGCAGCTTCTCAAGATGGTGTCCAGCATAAAATGGCATTAGTCTTGCTTACTGGTGTCTGGCCTCTCAGTATTAAGGTTTGGCAAGGCAACCCAGTATGAGGAATATGTTCCCAAAAGCCTGCCAAAGCACCAGGCTCCATTCCCACTCCAAGAAGTCCCACAAGTAGACCAAGCTATACAACTATTACACATAAATGGAGGACCTAGGTCAGTTCCATGCGGGCTCCTTAGTTGGCAGTCCAGTGTCTGTGAGCTCCTATGAACCCAGGTTAGCTTTCTCTGTGGGTTCCCTTGTGATGACCTTGATACCCTGGCTCATTCAATCCTCCTTCTCTCTCTTCAACAGGGTTCCCAGAGTTCGGCCCAGTGCTTGGCTGTGGGTCTCTGCATCTGCTTCCATCGGTTACTACATGACGGCTCTCTGATGACAATTAGGGTAGTCATCAATCTGATTACAGGAGATGGCCAAGCAGGCACTTTCAAGGGGTGTGGGTGTCATATAGTCAACAGTAGACAGGCTCCTGTTGCCAGGTGATGGCATAACAGGCTAGCCAGTGAGGCAGGAGCTAACACCCGTCACAGCGTTGCCACTATAGCACTACCAGAGAAATGTTGGCAGTGAAGCACAAGTTGTCCATAACCAAGCAGGACAGCAGGTGATAATTCTCCTGCATCAGTATGCACCCTGTGGCACTAAAAGAGCCACTCAGCTTTGGGGGGCGCTTTCCGCTCAGTCCCAGCCCCATTTCTCCATATTTGCAGCCACAGTGCTCAGGGTGTTTTAGCAATAGGGTCTTATTACCTACTGCTAACATGTGGCCATCACCACAGGTAAGAGCACTTAGTGATCTGTGGGGCCTCTGAGATCCTCTGTCAACAGACTATTAGGGAGTTTCACTGAGATTCTTAGGCAACATTTCCTTTTTGGCTCCTAGGATTGTGTTTTCTCCAGCAATTCAAGGTAGCTTTAGCATTTAAATGTGTGTGTGTGTGTGTGTGTGTGTGTGTGTGTGTGTGTGTGCGCGTGTGTGCAGGGGGGTAGTATATGCATGTATGTGCAGGTGTGTGTGTGTGTGTGTGTGTGTGTGTGTGTGGTGTGTATGCATTTCATTGTACATGCGCATGTGCAGGGCAGAGCTTGTCATGGCTGTCTTCCTTTGACTCACTCCACCTCTTTTTTTGAGCCAGCGTCTCTCATTGATCCTGGAACATGGAGTTTTGGCTAGACTAGCTACCGACAAACCCATAGGATCTCTATGTCTCTATCCCCCAGCCCCAGTGCACGATGTTTGTGGACGCATGTTTTCCTGTCTGCCTTTTAAGTGGGTGCTGGATATTTGAATTCAGGTCTTCATTCGTGCCTAGGGAGCACATCCCCCTCTGAATAGAATACTCATCCCCCACATTTCGGCTCTAATAGCTGTTTTAACCATTCTTGCAGATACTTCTCCAAATCTGTAAGACATTCATTGAGTATCATTATATAATGGAGCCCTTCTACAGACAATGCTCAAGAGCTGAAAATCCACAGCCATGCACTCCAGACAAGTTCCAGTTGATCTTGGAAGGCTAAGAGGAAGTAAAAAAGAAGCATCAGGTCCAACGTGGCACAGAATGTTCTCAGCATTCATAGCTATCACTTCATCAATAGAGCCATGCTGGGTATTGCTGCATGGCTGCAAGCACTGCAGTATTTAGCTTTCTATTGTCAAGTCCAAAAGAAATCCCAGACAAATGGCTGACCGTGGGCTCATTGGCATACCAAAGCACAGGCTGGCCCCGGGATCTCTCAGCATTACAAGTACCAGTTACAGAGGGTATTCTGGCATCCTGTCTGCTCCCTCCTTTTCTCACCCCACCTCCTTCCCTAAACTCCTGCTCATGTGTTTCCTCCCCCTGCATTGACTTGGTCCTCCTCTCTTGCTCTTCCCTGCTCCCTCTCCTCTCACGGCCCACTTCACTCTACTGGCCGTGGTTAGTCTACTGCTCTGTCTCTCTGCTTCAGACCCTTCTGGCTGTGTTGTCCCTCTTGTCTGGGGTAGAGACGGTTTGCTCAGCCCAGGGTCCTTTCACTGGGCTGCCCAGCGTCATGTTTTATGTATGATTTTTTCTATTCATAAAAAATGAAAGGAATACAAGATGAAAGGAAATGTGACCTCTGTTGAGTCTGACACTTCATTTCATTAACAGGAGCCCTCAGCGCCATCCATTTTCCTGAAAGCAACGTGATTTTGTTCTTCATATGGATAAATAAAGCTCTCTTGTCTTTTTTTTTTCTTTATCCAGGCATTTGTCCACAGGCACCTGGCTGGTTCCAAAACTCAGTTCTGAATACTGCTGCAGTAAACACAGATGTGCCAGTGTCTCTGTTTTAACTGAGGCTCCTTCAGGCATGCACACCGGAAGTGGTACATGTGAGTGAAGTGGCGCTTTTAATTATTGTAAGTCTCCTGAGGAGTCTCTGTATGGTTTCTCATAGTGATTGAACTAATTCACACTCCTACCAGCAGTATCTGGTATCCCTTTTCTCACATCCTTACCAGTATCTGTTGTTACTTGTTTTCTTAAGGATTGACATTGTGGCTAGGCTAAGGTGGGATCTCAGTGTGCATATCCTTGATTGTGAACAATGATGGGCACTATCATACGTTATTACCCATTTATACTCCAGCTTTGAGGACCCTGTTTCAGTTCCCCAATTATTGATTGGATGGTTTGGATGTTTGCATTTAGTTTTTTGAGTTCTTTATGTATTCTAGTTATTAATCCTCTGCCAGAGATTGTCCTCTTCTGTAGGCCAGTTTTCACCCATGTTGTTGCTTGCTTTGGAAAAGCCTTTCAGTTCCATCCAATCTCTTTAACCAATTCTTGGCTTTGTTTCCTGAGTAACTGCACTCATATGCAGGCCTCCACCCTGTGTCCATCTCTTGAAGTGTCTGTGCTTCACTTTGTCAGTTTTATAGTTTCAGGTCCTACATTGGATCTTTGACTCCTTTTGCATGGATTTTTGGCAGGGTGAGATAAAGACCCAGCTCCATTCTTGGGCCTGACCTTCAGGCCCCCATCGGCACCTGTTGAAGAGACTTTCTTCCACTTAGTGTATGTTTTTGGCATGATTATCAAGAACTGGGTGTTTACAGGGTGTAACTCCATTCCTAAGTCCTCTATTCTTTCTCTTTGGTCTATGTTTCCATTTTCTGTCAACCACACAATGCTTTGGGAGGTGTTTCTATCTTCTAGTGTCTTCTTCAATTTACCATTTTCAATTTAAAAAACTTGATTTTAAAGTTATTTCATCTTTTTTGGGGTAGGTTAATTGCAAGACATTAAATTCATTATTTTTAAAACTGTTCAGAGTGGGATTTCCCCCTGATTATGTTATCCATGTGTTCACTACTGTACATGGTGATGCAGTTTATAGAAAAGTCACATTTTTTGTTTTGTTTTTTTTGAGACAGGGTTTCTCTGTATTGCTTTGGAGGTTGTCCTGGAACTAGTTCTGTAGACCAGGCTGGCCTTGAACTCACAGAGATCCACTTGCCTCTACCTCCCAAGTGCTGGGATTAAAGGCATGAACCACCAACGCCCGACAAGTCACATTTTTTTTTAAAACAAGAAGTTTATCTAAACAACAAGACGCTTGACTTGAAGGGAAAACTATCTAGGACCATTTTGTTCAAGAGTGATTTATCCCTACTTAAAGACAGATTGCCCTACATGTAACAGCTATGTACAAAAAAGTTATAAAATTGTCCTTGGTTTACAATGATAAATGAAAAACATTAAAATTCTCCAATCGAACAAGGTATGCAAGGATTTTGTTGTTGGGTTCTTTTGTTAAAACATTGAGAGCAAAATAACTTACTGGAATAGAAAGATAAGAGCTGAATGAGCATGCCACTAATGGAGAAAGGGGGATATTTTCACAGAACCAGTACTTCCCCCCAGACCATCTCCATCTGATGTCAATCAAAACAGAACATTGGCCATTCTTGAAATTCGCAGGGAAATGGATAGCACTGGAAGAAACCATCCTGAGCGAGGTAACCCAGTCGCAAAAAGACAAACATGGTATGTACTCACTCATATATGGATTTTAGACATGGATCAGGATAGTGCCAGTTTGCACTTCCACTGATAGAGAGTCTGGGAAACAGGAAAGAACCTAAAAGATATGCATATATGCATAGTACCCAAGAGAAGAGGATGGAGACAAGATCCTCTGAATGGATGAGGAACACGGCGAGGAGTGGGGGGGAGTGGGACCTGGGAAGAAGAGAGGGGGTGAAAAGGAAGAGAGTTGGTCATGGGGGAAAAGGAAGTTGAAGGGGTGGGGGTAGAATAGGGGAAAGAGGGAATCATAGGATCGAATACAGATCAGGCACCAGAGCGACCTCGAGTGATCTAAAGGGATAACACCAATTGGCAAGCTAAGCAATAGTGGAGAGACCACCTCAAATGCCCATTCCTGATAATGAACTTGATGTCTATAACCATCCGGGAGCCTTCATCCTGTGACTGATGGAAGCAGAGGCAAACACACAATTAATCACTGAACTGAACCCAAGGAACCCAGTGACAGAGAGAGAGGAGTGATGAGCAAATTGGCAAAGAATGGGCTGGCAAAACCAGCAGAGACAGCTGATCTGAACAGGGGAGAGCTCTTGGATCCCAGACTGACAGTGAGGAGGCCAGTATGGGACTGATCTGGACCCCCCAAATGTGAGTGTCAGCGAGAAGGCCTGGGCAACCTATGGGGCCCTGAGTTGTGGATCAGTGTCTATCCCTGATATACAAACAGTCTTCGTGTGCCTATAGCACAAAGAGGGATGCTCTCTCAGCCTGGACTCTTAGGGGAGTGCCTGGACTCTACCCAGAGTAAAATGACAGACTCTGATATCCCCTATGTGGAAGGATTTGGCAATAGGGTGGGAGGGTGGGGGGAAAGGGGAGAGGGGGAGGAGGGGAGGGAGAGGGAACTGGGATTGACATGTAAAACAGCTATTTAAAATAAAAAAATTGAAAAAAGAAAAAAAAAGAAAAAAAATTAAAATAAAAAATGATAAAAGAAAAAAAAACAAAAAAAGAAAGAAAAAGCGCAATATGCTTGTGCACATATACCAGTTCCTTTATGTACAATAAAGAAATGAGGACAGGGAAATGAGAGAATAGAGAAAACTATACTGTAGTGGTCAGGATGTGGCAGAACAAACTGCGGCTTTCTAATTGCAAATGTATTATTGGTCTACAAGAAAATTCTGGAGTAAAGTAGCAGGTTCCCTTTTTAGTAGACACCTCCTGTCTGCTGCTGGAACACATCAGTCGTATCTTCATCCTCCATTTCCAACTGTGCAGGTGTGTGGGTCTCATTGATTGGTTGTCCATCAAACCGGAATCTGATCTGCCTCATCGACAATCCCTGTCGTTCACAATAGGCTTTCATTAGTTTACTAAGTGATATGTGCCTCTTAATCTTAATCTGTACCACAGAACCATCCTGCCCCACCACCTTCGAATTAATATGATTGTTGTTCTCAGTCTTGACTCCCTCCTTTGGTTTCTCCTCGGCCATGGCGAGCACCGGGGTCTCCTCAGCTGCTGCTTCACAAAAAGGCTCCAGGTCCGCACTGAAGGAGCACACAGGCAGCACCAGGAGCAGCAGAAAAAGGAGGTGGCAGTGGTCAAGTCGCATGTTTTTATCCAGCAAGAGGCAAAGTCAGCTTTCCCAGGTGCAGTGAAGGGTGTGGCCAGCTCAGCATGGCCCTCTGATTTCATCTTAAATGGTTCCTAAGGTCTCCTGAGGTGACACAGGCCGCAGACATCCACACAGACCCCAGCTGAAGCTGGACCATGGACCCAGCAGCTTGGGGCTGGTCAACATCCTGGCTCTGGCTATAATGCCTGGCTACTCAGGTGGGAATGGTTGTGGTTCTAACCTTAAACCTTTATGTGAACTTTGGTGGCAATGCAGGAACCAGACTTCAGCACAGACCCCAGCCACAGTAGAACCAGGGACCCCAACATGGTCCTCGATGCTTGTTTACATCTTGAGGGATCAAGAACTGCTTAGATCCAGAGGTGGGTTCTACCAGCATCCCACGCCTTCTCATGAGACTTCAGGTCCAAAGTTTCACATTTTCCCCAGAAAAGTACCTCCATTATCTAGTGCTGAGGTATTCACACACAAGAGTTTGTGGGGAAGACCCAGGTAACGCACACAGGGACATAAACACAGAAATGTATGCACAGATACACAGAGATTTGCACACACAGACCCTCTCACATGAACACACACACATGCACACACACACACACACACACACAATTACTGATTCACAGACAGGCTCCCAAATGTACAGTGACACAGGGTCACACACAGGCCACACAAACATGAGACAGGTACAGACATGAACACACATACCCTGATCTGCTGACACACAGAGACACACAGGTACAAAGTGCACACTCACAGACACAGACACTGACACGGAGAGATAGGCATTTACCTGTCCACACAGATGGAAATAGACTGGTGCCCTCCTACATACAGCTGCTCCAAGACATGCAAACGCAACGCACACATACACACTGACACACAGCTCCACAAAGCAGAGCAATGCGTTTTTCCGTGGTGTGGAAAAGAAGGGAGAAGTCGAGAGTGAGGACCCCTGAGCATCTACAGTCCGTGGCCGGACTCCCAACTTCTCTTGGAGTGTGGAGGGAGGAAGGCAGAAAAGTTGAATTGAATTTGGGGACATCATTGGGGCCAGGTGCTAGGCGACTGGGGACCCACAGTGAGGTTATGGATCACGAGAGATATCTGCAGGGTCCTCATGAGTCTGATGCAGGGGGAAAGTCAGGGCGCAGGAGCCAGGGTGATAGAAGGAGAGGGCACAGCTCAGTTCTCAGGGGCCGTGGCTGCAGAACACAGACATGTGTCCAGCATCGCTGTGTGGAGAGGGACTGTGGTTGTGCTTGGATCTGGGATTTCTGGGAGAGATGGGGAGGCATCGAGTCTCCCTATCTGGTGGGAGTAATGCCTGTCCATGGTGTGGCTCTGAATTCTCAGGCAGAACTTCCTGAGATGGGGGTGTCTGGTACCCACTATAGGATAAATGTGCTTCTCAGAGCTCATGTAGACAGAGGTGCCAGCTCAACCATGCTGCTGTTCTTGCTGACCATAGGACTGACCCTGTTCTCTGTGGTGCAGGCCGGCTACCCCAGTCATGGTGAATGTGCAGCAGACAAGGTGAGATCTCTGGGAGGTCTGAAGGTGGGAACAAGGTTTTCAGGATCATGATGCATGACTTGGTAAGAGTCTGGGTTTGTTGATGGGCTTCGGTGGGCTTCCTGTAGTTTTGTGCTAGGGCCTGTCCTCAAATTCTCTGCTAGGTAGGTGATACCCACAGGCAGAGTGATGGGTTATGGGGGCATCTGTCTGGTCATTCTGTTACAGAGACCCACTGCCTTCCTCTGTCAGTCCTGGGTTCCCAAGGACCTTCTTTAAGGCTCACTTAATGACACTTCCGAATTTCTGTGACCCAGAGAGAGCACTAACTAGGAATGTGTTTTTGGAAGAACATTGTTGACTCCAGTCCTTAGAGTGGTCCCTGATAGTGGAAGGAGGCAGAGACTGAATCCAAGGAGCAGCCAGGTTGTGTGGGTGTGGTCCTCAGTGACCCAATACACAGTGGGGTTGTTTATCCATGACTGGTCATTTCTGATCTCTGTCCACCACATCCCCAGCCTTATCCTGTAGATGACCTTCCTAGTCCTTCTGAGCCATCTGTGCAGGACCATGGTTGTATCTACTCCCAGGAACAGCATCTCCCACAAGAGCACTGTCTTACCTTTCCTGAAACAGCCTGCCAATGGTGCAGAGGGGATGGTCATGACCAAGTTTTCCTGACCCTCCAGTCCGTGCTGAGATGCTTCCCAAGCCCCTCCTGCCTCTGCTCCCACTTCAGCTATGGCCTGAAACCCCTTTCCCTGGCTCTCCCTCTCCCTCCTGCCCTCTCTGTGGTGACTTCCCCAGTCTAGCTTTTAGGGAACTGGGGCATAATTCGCTGAGCTGAGCTGAGCTGAGCCTTTTACCTTTAAAGACCACCATTTGCCTATGGGCCACAGCTGTTTCCTCTCTATTCAGAGGCAGTCCTTTGTCTCACCCAAACCCTCCTGGGACAAAACCCCTTTCTCCTCTTCACTGTTCCCTCTCCCTTCTCCCTTGTCTTCTATCTCCTGTGTTTGTCTTTTATTCCCTGCCCTCTGTCCCTCTGGGGCTAATAAATCTCCTTTGTGCTGAGAACTTGGTCTCTGGTGTCCTGAGCCAATACTGGTCCCTACAGCAGCCTTCCCTATGCAGAAAGGAGATGTTTAGCTCATTCCTCTGGATTCTTGGCATGCGAGAACTACCCAGGGGTTATGAGCTCCCAGGGCCTCATCCACATGGGAGCTGTGCCATAGAGCCAAGTGCCCTATGCACTCTATATCTGGCGTGAGAATACTTGTGTTTGGTTTGTTTGGGAGTTAGGATCATGGAAGTGGACCTTGACTGGTATTCTGAATATCTCTGTACAATGGACCACACTGTGAAGCTAGACTGCCCTTCCTCCATTGAGAGAACACAGATCATGGGCTGGAAACACTGGCAGGTGGGAACTGTTCGTAACAGCCCCTGACAGAGAGGAACTGGCTTTTTCTTCAGAAGGGTTTTCCCCCAGCCTGGATGCAGACACAAGATTCATGTATATTGAAGAGATTCCCCCTGGGAGCCAGCAGACAGGTTAACAAGCTGAGCTCTCTGCTGTGGAAACTCACTGGAGGTCTTTCCTGGATCAGGGTGTGTTATAAGGAGGAAGACACTTTAGTAGCCAGCCCCACAGTGACCTCAGGGAAACACGAGGCTCCTTGTAGAGCACAGCTTGGAGACTGAGTCACAGGGTGGCTTGCCTGTGGAGTTAGATCTAATGGCTACTGGGTATGCAGCTGTTTTATTAGGCTCCATATGTGTTGACTAAGTTGTGGGGCTCCAGAGTACAGAATCTCTTATTCTGTTGTAATCGGAGCTGTGTGTGTGTCCCCAGAGTGTGAGAACAAACCCTGGCTGTGATTGAGGTTGGACTCAATAGATGCCCAGGAACACAGGGAAATTACAGGCCTCCATTAGCCCATAAAAGCTGGGTCAACATGCCATGTTTACACAATTCTATTCCATTGGCTCCACCACCCATGCTTCAAGGACAGACTATCTCTGGAAGTAGAAACTTTTGGCTAATATAGTGTGATTTACATCCATGTAACCAGATCAATAAAGACTTTTGGGAAGTGTAAAAAGCAACAAACAAGAATGAATTGTGACTATTATGGGATACCCAAGGTTCTTTCTGTGGGAGTCTATAATAGTCTGTGCACCAGGCACCAAGATCCCTGCAGGAGCTGGAAGGTGACCATGCAAGCTACACGCCCCTTCTCAGGTCCCCAGGTCTCTTCGCCCCTTTCCAGGTGCCACCAATCACAGCTGAGAACCCAGGCAGGCAACCTGACCGGGAAGCTGCCAAGAACACTTTGAAGTCCCAGGAGGAATCTTCCAGGGCATGCAGGGCAGTGCCAGAGACCACACCTGGACGGCGGTTTGTGTAACGTTAGACAAGCAGAGCAATGAAAATTTGAAGGGAGGAAGGTAGCATCCACAGGGGCTCCCCGCAGAGACAGCAGCCACCTCATACAGGGAAAAAACTGGGACCTTGAGGAAGGGGGAGGAAGAACATGAAAACCGCAGTGGATGCTGGGTAGAAGCCACCGGAAGTCCGGTGTCCCAGCCCTTTGGATCTTCCCCGACTCCAGTTATCTTTCCATGAACTACGGGATTTTTTTTTTATTCATTTTCTCTGCTTGTGTCCACCGTGACAACAACCTCTCCTAGCTACTCACAGTCGGCCCCGAATCATCACTCTCTGGTCTACCCTCTCTCTAACCTGGCCTCTGGCCATCTTCCTCTCCCTGTCCTGCGATCTGCTCCATCTTCTCTGCCCTCCAGTCTGCTCTTGGCACAGTTGGGCTCCCTCTGCCCCTCCCTCTGCCTCTCCCAGGCCCCTCTGAATGCTCCTCCCACCGGGAGTCCCATTCCACTTCACTCCCTCATAGCTTGTTCCCTTCTCTACCTTCAATTATGTGTTCAAATGTCCCTTCTGAGCGGCTGACTCAGACAATTCCATCTGTGGCCCTTTGTGTCCATCGTTGCCGTCCACTTGTTCCAACTGGGGCTTCCTCATGGAACATGCCGCCCTTGTAATAATATATAATTAAGTAGTCGGGAGACAGCACACAGTGGACTGAGCAGGGAAAGTGAATACAATGAACAGTTAACACAAGCGTAAGGAGAGCTAGAGACTCCAACTGAGGGTTCCAGGAAATCAGTGGGGAAGGTGTTACAGCTGGGAACCTCGGCCAAGTCACTTGACAGTTCTGGTTTTGTTTTTAGACTTACCTTCCCCAGAGACAATTGCACCATCCCCACATAGGGTCTTATTTCTTCCTGTACACCTGTGTATCTTTCATTCCCCCTTTAACCCTAAATTTGTAGTTGGAAATTTCTGCATTGCATTACATGTACATAGAGAGAGTGGACATCCTCACTTGTCCCACAGGCTGCAGAGAGGGCTGTATTGTACAGGAGACTCTTTTTCTGACAGTTCTTACCCAGAATCTTGTCAAAAGATTTTCCAGCACTGATTGATTGATATGACTCTACTACACTTTCTGCTACAACTGTTAAATTGGTTGCCTAAAACTCAAGGCTGGCATTGATCCTTCTGTCTCTGCCTCCCAAGTGTTTGGATTGTGTACTACCACACCAGGCTGCTTTTATCCAAGTAGGAGCTGCTTTAATTAGCTGTAGTAATTCATGGCACATCTGAGACTCACCAGAGTGTGTTACTAGAAACACAGGAAAGAGGGACACAGTCATTAGAAGTGGGATCTATGATCACTGTGACAGGCACTGTCTTCAAAAACTTCGAGAAGACCAAGTTTGTTGGTCATCGGCCACGCAACAATAGTCCAACTCTTGTACTGACCCACTTATGCTTCAAACTGAGTTTATTCTATAGCTGACCATTCAGAGTTATGGAAACACAGCTTCTCAATTAGTAATTGAGGGACTGGAGAGATAGCTCATTGGCTAAAAGCATGTATATCTCTTGGTGACAGCTTGGACTATATTCCCAGTACATATAGGGCAGCTCATAACTGTCTGTAACTCCAGTTCCAGGGGTAATCTGATGCCTTTTTTTGACCTCCTCCTCCTCTACCTGGCAACCATGTAGGGGACATATAAATGTTATATACATAAAACAAATGAATATAAGCTGACTAAAATAATCCCATTTAGGGAAGCAATCTCTAGTACACCCAATGCAGGTCATCTTCCAGGTGTTATTGATAGTTACACCAGACTGCTCCCCAGGAGTTTTAGATGCATCTTGTTCTAGCTAATTTGATGGCAACACAAGCTGGAGTCATTTGGGAAGAGAGACCCTCAACCAGGAAAATGGCCACACAAGATTGGCTTGTAGAAAAGCCTGTGATGTATTTTCTTAATTGGTGGTTGATATGGGAGTATACAACTCAATGTGTGCAAGGACCACTGTAAGAAATCAGGCTGAGGAATCCAGGAGAAACAAGCCAGTAAGCAGCACTCCTACATGGCCTCAGCATCAGTTTCTAAAACTGAAACAAACCTTTTCCTTGACAAGTTGCTTTTGGACATGGTGTTTTACGACATCGATAGAAACCTAACTAAGACACACCTCAGTCCTAGACAGGTCCCTTCTGCCTGGTGCTGCTGGAGGTGCTATCAAAAACTCTGTCTGCTAATGCTGACTAAAGCCACACTCTGTCCTTGGCAGTGAGGTACCTAGGAATTAGCCAGACAGAGAAGGGGTGGCCATGCTGAGGAGAAAGTTTATGATAGTTAGGGACACAAGCTGAAGTAATGAAGCTAAGGTTGTGGAACTGGGGGTCCCTGCAGGAACTGTCACCAGAAGGAAAGGGGCAAAATGGAGACAGATGCCTTAGGACAACTCAGGCCAGGACATCTCTTTCTTCTGTCCTTCCATCTCTCCCAGGTCTACCCAGGCCTGACCACAAACACCCATTGACTCCTGAGAGCATCTACCATGAATAGACTTCAACTTCCAGTCCTTCCTCTTATCCTCCCAGGGTTATGTGCAGTACCTGCCCATCCATCTCCTGATGGTGTTTTTTTTAAAATCACTTTGACTTACTAGGTGTCTACGAGCATAGCATGAGACCTTGGTAGAATTCAGTACACTGGGACATAATGGACAGTTAGATGACCGGAAGCAACTGTAGAGTGCATGAGCTGCCCTTCATATTGCACAGACGACTCATAATGGCAGACCTTATCTGCCAATTATCTTCGTGTGGCTCTCATGGTTTTGCTAAGGGAAGAACTACACACACCACTACCATAGGTGCTGACATCAGTGATACAGTCACATGAAAGGTTATCTATGGGGTGGTCAGCAGGACAAAGTACACAAAGTCCTTGGCACCCTGGGTGCAGACTCCAGGCTGCTCACTAATCTGGTCCTAAAGAGCACTGGCCCCACCCTCTCACACCCAGGACAACAGGCTTCCTGCTCAGCAGCAACTTACGGGACTGGGTTATGGCAGCTCCTCAGCACAGTCCAGGACTTGTCCTAGAGTGATCATTAACATTGTTTATAGATGCTTGATGCTGTCCAAGTTTGTCTACAGAGGCACAAAGGTGCCTTTGTAGCACTAGAATCTCTCTCTAGAGCTGGGGTCAGATGGGTATCAGGACATCAGGATGAAGAGTGACAACAGGGTTCCTGATGGAGAGTGAGCTAGACTGAGGCCGGAAGATGAGGTGGCTAACGCAGCTGAATTTTGGGCTCTGGGCCCATGTCAGTCCCTGGCTTCCATGTGTTTCTCTTGCTTCCCCATTCAAAGAAAGTTAGATTCATGGTCTCCTTTAGGGCTTGCTAGTTGTTAAGGTAGGGAAACCATTCTTAGATCATGGGCTCTAGTATTTAAGATAGTTGTACATCTGTGGGTTCACAACAGGTTTTGATGGACCTCATAGGTGTGGAAGGATCCTGATGCTGTGTCAAGGAGGCCAGGAGTTCTATATGTCCCATCATAAGGTCCTGATGATCTACACAGCAAAGGACTGAAGTATCCTTGTTGAACTACAGTGGGGACATTTCCCATTAACAGATGCAGATTGGTGACTGCTTTATGTAATAGAGCATTTTCAGCTTGTGGAATGAAGGGTAAAGCCCAGGGATCGGGGCTCTGCTCCTCAGGAGCTTAGAATGTGATTGAGCAGATAGACGGGTGATGTTACAGCTGAGAAGGGAGAGGGACGAGACACTGTGGAGGAAGGAGTGCCGGAAGAGAGCTCAGCTGCCTGGTGTACGGAGAGAAACTCTTCAGGTGACTGTGGTCTCTAATGTTGCTCAGAGCAGCCTAGGTGCAGGAGCTCCTGAGCTGTCAACTAGATCCTGACACATCAAATGTTTCCATGCTCACACCTGGGGCAGGGCCACTGAGTAGCAGAAGGCAATGTGGTGGGCTCCTAGTGCAGAGATTGTGGCCAAGGTACTGACAGGATTTGTGTGGTTAAGAAGCTCAGTCCCTTTCTCAGCTTTTGTGGGAGAGAAGCCAGCTTCTAGATAAGATGGCCAAGGAAGCCAGGGGTGGCAAGAGAGTGCGTGCAGGTGTGGAGAAGGAGCAGGAGGAAGCCAGGTCCCTCCCTTCCTGGCTTCCTGTTCTCTACTTCTGTCCCAGAGTCATTTACACAATGCAGTGGGTTCTGTGTATGTGGCAGCCTTAGATGGTGCAGACAGTGCAGGGCATTGTGTCTTTTACCTGCAGTTGCCACAGAATGGTCACCAGATCGCAACAACAATAACCCCCACCCCCATGATGGACATGGATTTGTCTAGGAGGGGCGTGGGCAGTGCCATTTGTGGCCATAAAAGACATTCTTCAAGGAGGCAGCACAGCCTCATTTTGTCACCGGTGTGACTTGCCTTGTCTAAAGGACAGAGCCTACAGATGAAGAGCCTGCTTCTGACTGTCACACTGTTTGTCCTGGTGGCTGTCCTACATGCCCAGGATGACCTGCCCTTCTTCTCAGAAGACAAGAATGTGAGGCAGGGAGTGATGGTGGACAGGGTAGAGGGGAGGCTTGGCTTTATCCCACCCCCGAGGAAGGAGCTAGCACTCATGGGCTGTTAAGTCCTCTGAGCCTGGCCAGTAGCACTGCACCTCGGCTTGGAATTGTGTCTGTCTGTTCTCTACTGTTCTGCTCTCTCTACTGCTGTTCTACCAGCAGGCATGGGCCCTCTTGGACCACAGAGCTGGAACATGCAAGGGTCTTAGCTGTAGTGATTCCAAGAACCAGAATGTTTCTCAGGGGTGGACTTTCATGCCCTGCCATAGACCCAACAACTTTGGATGCTTTGGGAACAGACACCTCCTGCCTAGTTGGAACATGGGGTTTCAGGAAAACTTTAAGAACACAGGACTGCGGAGTGGGACCAGTCCATGTCAGGGGCTTCAGCCTAGGCTCTGGAATGTTTTTTAGGCCCCTACCCATGTGCTGGAACCTGGGGGAGAACTTGGCTTGGACTGGGGTGTAGAGGTTGTACAGGGTGTACAGGGCTCTGTTTGTTACAGGTCTCAGGGACCTGGTACAGGAAAGCCAAAGTGAGTAATGCGAACATCACAGAGTTGGAGAAACCTATGGAAGAATTCCCTTTTATAGCGAGAGTGCTGGAAAAGGGACACATAGAGATCACGGTCTTTACCATGTGAGTGTCATCTCCACGAGTCTTCCCAGCTTTCCTGTCTCCTTTCATTTATGCTTTGAATGTTGATGACAAGCAGGTTCATACTTTAAGGGAACACCATCACAGCAACAATTTGAACTCACGGCTACAGTTGATATGGCACATGGAGGTCACCGACTCATCGTGCAAGCTGAGCAGAGAACAGGTGTGGGCTCTGCAAGAGCCTGCTGGTATGTCCCCTGTTTTCTAGATTTAATGACAAGTGCATCCAGAGTAAATTCGTGATGGAGAAAACAAAGAAGCCTGGCCAGTACAGTGCCTGTGAGTCTGTCTGAATTTCTTCTCCCACTGCCGTGATGAAATTCTCTGTCCCAAAGGATTTAGGGAAAGGGGGTTTATTTTAGCTCACTGTTCAAGTACAGTCCATCATAGTAGAGGATTCCTGGCAGCTGGCACTGGAAACAATTAGTTGCATTTCATCTACAGCAGGAGAAAGGAATGAGGGGCAATGGCATGCAAGTGTTCAGCTGGCTTTCTCCGTGTTGCACATTCAGGATCTGCTGCCCAGTGGGTACTCCCACCATAGTTCACATGGGTCTTTCTCCTTCAGCTGTCATGATCAAGATAATGCACATGTGGCATGCCAAAGGCAAATCTCCCAGGAGATTCTTACTGTCAAGTGGATGTTTTAATCTGAATTGTCACAGTCTCCCAGACTGCATGTGATCTTCCCTCCCAGGGAGTAGTTCCCGGGGCTGGAGCATCCCTGTCCTGCTTAGCTCCCATAAGAGGCTGTCCAGTTAACTTAGAGGTGACTTTGGAGGTCACAGTGTAGTCCACAGAAGAAAACGTGTTTCCCTCCAGATAGTTCTGTCCCAGACCCTAAGGGAACCTGAGACTTAGGATCTGGAAAGCAGGACAGGGCAGCTGCTAAGAGGTCATGTCAAACTCCAGCCTTCATCTTCCCTGACACCATTGGTCCAGACTCCATACCTGGGGATGACACCTTTCCAGGAAAGAACTTTGGTCCCGTGAAGAGACCATAGCATGACCAGGCTCCATAAGATTAGGAGTTCATGGGTCATTACTAACATTTTCTAGACCAGTGGTTCTCAACTTGTGGGTTGTGACCCCTTTGGGAGTGAATGTAAAGTATCCTGTATACCAGATATTGACATTATCATCCCCAATAGTAATACAATTACAGTAATAAAGTAGCAATAAGATAATTTATGGTTGGGGGTCACCACACAATGAGGAACTGTATTAAAGGGTTGCAGCATTAGGAAGGTTGAGAAGCACTGTGCTAGACAGTTCATTAACACAGTCAGGATAATGTTTCTGGAACGGGACACTACAGACCTTTCTTCTCTGATCATCTACAGTTTGGGGCACGTATCTCACGTACATCTATGAACTGCCGGTGATGGACCACTACATCTTCTACAGTGAATTGAAGGTTTTAAAGAAGAAAGTCTATATGGGAGATCTCATAGGTAGGACTGTGGGCACCTCATTTCCTGTATGGCCTCCACTACCAGAAGCCAGAGGATATGCAGTAGCTACAACTTGTTACAGGAGACTAGAATGCTTAGCATGGAAGACTTGATGTGTGTCTAGGTTCTGGACACTAGGTGCTGCCTATGTAATGTGCGAGATCTGAGTGAGAAGGGTCAGACTGACAGGAGCTTTCAGTGAAAAGAGCAGATGTGATCTTCAGGGCCATAACAACTCAGGATGGAAGTTTCAGGCTGAGTTTTCCTGTCCAGACTGCCTGTTCCCAAATAACAGGCAGTAACTTCCCAAATAATTGACTCAGAGATTTAATATAAATTACAAATACTCTGCTGATAGCTCAGGCTTATTACTAACGAGCTCCTACAACTGAACCCATTTCTGTTAATCGATGTTCTGCACCAAGGCTTGTGACTTTTACCTCTATCCCATTTTGTGTGTCTGACTTATTCTCCACCTGTCTGGCGACTCCTCTGACCCCGCTCTTTCTCATCCCATAATTCTTAGTTTGATTTTGCTGCCTAACTTTATCTTGTTCAGCTATTGGCCAGTCAGCTTGTTTATTAAACCACTCATAGCGACATCTATTCACACAGTGTATAGAAGGGTTATTCCACAGCAGTGAACTGCCAAGTGCCATTTCTGGGGTCTCAGATTATGGGAAGGTCTGTTTGAATGGTTGGGTCCTAAAAGAGGCCTTTGGTTGGCAATGCCCCTCTGAACTTGAGAGACAGACCAGTATCTCAGGGTCCTTCCAGGTCAGAGTGTGATTCTGCACAGCCATTCAGGATATATAACACCCACCTGTACCTCCCTGCGGGTATGCCCATCTCATCCATCCACACCCTACCCCTTTGTCTTCTCTAAGTGCTCCCTCCTCTACTGCCTGCCCCTGGGCCAGGTGAAGCCCCTAGTGCTGGGCAGTGGTCCTATCGTTGTGCCACTGGCTCCCTGCAGAGCTGTTCAGTCACAACCCTTGTGCTCATCTGGTATCTGTCCCCAGGGAAGGATCCCACAGAGAACCACAAGGCCCTAGAAGAATTCAAGAAATTCACAGAGGGGAAAGGCTTTCTACAGGAAAACATCATTGTGCCTAAGCAGAGAGGTGAGTGGGTGACTTTAGAGATTACAAGCTAGGTCACTGAAGAGACTACGCTTCCCCTAGTTACTTAAAGCTGTCCATACCCCTCCCCGTGTCCTCTGGTGTCAGCCATTACTCCAAGTGACTCTTGTGTTTGTCTATGTCTGTGGTGTCTCTTTGCGTCACCGGTTTCTCTCCTCTTCCCTGACAAGGACAATAGGGCCATACTTAAAGTCTTGGTCATGATGGCGTCTAAGCTGCAGGTGTGAGTTCTAGATTTTCATCAGTGCACCTCTTCAACCCAAGTTTTTCTTTGTTTCTACAGAAATGTGTGTCCCTGTAGATCACAAAGGTAAGTGACCCCCGGAAGAACCTTAGGATGGCACAGACTCCTCAGTACCAGAGTTTTGTGGTCCCTCTTTTGGACCCATGTGATCTCATCTCCCACCTGACACACCCCTGACACACACTTAGTGACTTTCCTGGTCAAGGTAGCAGGCTGTATTTGAGGACCATGAGTGGCTAGCTATATCTCCACAGTATTTGTGGGAAGGAAGTTCTCTGGCATCTGTGTCCTATGAGCCCCACTCTGCTACTCCCAGAGGACAGGGAGGGACCCTCACCTCTGTTCCTCTTCCTGTCACAGCTGCCTCTCACAGATGCAAATCCTGAGCCAACTCTGCACCAATGCATAGCAATGCCTTTCTTGGAGTACTCATCTCCCTGGACCATGCAGCCATGAGACACACCTTTCAAGACCATCTCACGACCTGTCAGACCACACTCCTGCTAGGACCTTCTGCCCCACCCCAAACCCAAGTAAAGCCTTAAGCAGCCATTCTGGACTCAGCGTGTTCTTTTGAGTCTCTTGTAAGCTCCAAGACAAGGTTGAGGAGCTGTGGGACTCAGTAGGTACCAGACCCCAAAGTCCATGATATCCTTCAGTCCTGTAGGATATAGGATATCCCAGTTCATTTGAGGACACACACACATGGTTTCAGAAGGTATTTGACTATGTGGAGCATTTGGGAAACTACTAGGTTGGGCACAACTGGGGAGATAGTCTCACAGTGGGAACTAGGGGGAATCCTATGGGAGACCCAGTGGTGAGTGACTTGGCAAAAGGGGCGGGGTTAAGAGTACTATTAAACCCTCCATCATCATCACTCAGGCAACACAGTACTACACGTAGCTCCATTAGTCATGATTACACACTTTGCCCACCATATGGTTTGTCCAGTTTACAAGGTCTTTGTGGACACACCTCATGGGGACACGGGAGTCAAAGTGAAGGAGGAGTGGCCCTGTACCTTGAACGATAAATGCAGATCTAGAAGCTGCCATCTCAATGATACATAGATTTCTGGAGGATGAGCAGATGGTAGGAACTTTCCCGAGAAGCTGTTGATTGTTCCCAGCTCAGAAGCTCTTCAGCACCCACCCTCATGAATTGTCCTTTCATTGTCCCTCTCTGCCTGGATGTGATTCTTGTTGAGGACCAGAGGTCCTTCATACAACAGTATGGAAGAGGGCAGTCTCGTGGGGTCCCACCCCTAGACAGAGAACTACAGGCAACTAATGACAACTAGAAGGAGAATTTGTCTCTCCATGGGATGAGCTCCCAATTGTGTTATACATTACAAAGCAACCAGCTCCAAAAACATGTACAGCAAAGCAACACCAAACAGACCCAGCAGTTGTGGTTATACATTTATACGCACACTCACGCATGTATATGTAATGATAATAATCAAACGAAAGAGGCCATCAGTTTGAGAGGATATGGGGGCACAGCAGGTGTTGGATGGAGGAAAACAAAAGGGAAATTGATATAATATTTTAATTAATTTTTAAAAAATGAAAGCAGTAGAAATCTTTCAACAATGTCAGGAAAGTAAAGGGATTACAAAGCCCTAAAGCAATGGATCAAAAATCTGAGTTGCAAAGTCCAAATTTGCTTGCGAGAATTATCATATACATCTAGAAGAAATCATTATTAATTTTAGTTTTGGTGGCTATACGCTACACTCGAGTTTTTCTTTGGATACTTTTTAATATGACTTTTAATGCTCTGTTGACCCACGTTTCCAGCATACTGAATGCATATACAGTAATGTCAGTCAAATCTTTTCTGTGCTGTCCTTTATGGACATGCCTTCCATACACCTTAAACTACTGGGCTGTTCTGCCTGGAGTTTACCTGTTGAGTTTTGAACAGAGTGAGGTGGAGCCTCAGTGTCTTTCTGTACATGCAGACATTTACTTCCCAGTACCACGTTTTGAAGGGGCCATCTTTTCTCCGGTTTATGTTTTTAGCATGTTTGTTAAGAATTGCTGGGTTTTTGTGGTGTGGGTCTCTTTTGTTCTGCCTGTAGCACAATGAGTTGTTAGTGTGGAATCACTTGAACTTGGGGTCTGTAGTACAACCTTAAACCCAGTCTGGTGATAGCACCGACATTGTCCACGGTGCTCAGATTGCTTTGACTGTTTGGGGTCTTTTGCACTTGCATATAAGGCTTTGAATTGCGGTTTTTTTATTTCTGTGAGGAAAGGTGCTGTAATTTTACTGGGGATTCCATGTGATCTGTAGATTTCTTTGATAATACATCCATTAATCTGGTATTGCTTCTGCCAATCTATACTCAAGGAAGCTCTTCATATGCCAGTTTCTTATTTCATGTTTTTCTTTGGATTTCAAAATGTTCAGTGTTTCATTTTTCGCTAGACAAAAAATTTCATTTTTGAGGTCTTTAACTCCCTTGACTGGGTTTATTCCAGTGTATTTTTTAATCATTTGGAAACTAATGCTAATTAAAGTATTTTCTTGATTTTTCTTTCCACATGGCCCCTATTGGTATGTGGGAAAGCTGTTTGTTTTTAATATGTTGATTTTGTAACCTTATGCTTCTATGAAAGTGTTTACTAGTTCTTAGAGTTTCCTTGTGGAGTCTTTGATGTTTCCTAGTAGATATTTTGACTGTTTAAATTTAGATTAAAAACAATCTTATTTGATATTCTGACTTCTTTCTTTTCTATTTGCATACCTTTTATTTCTTGCTCTTGTCTTATTGCTGTAGCTAATATTTAAGGCCTATATTCAGTAGGATAGAAACAAGAGGACATCCCTGTCCCTGCTGACTTTGATTTGTCTCTACTTTGGATGATGCTGGCTGTATGAATTTACTCCTTCCACGAAGAGCTCCTTCAGAGCTATGATCATGAAGGATGGTTGGCGTTTCTCAAAGGGTCTCTTTCCATCTCCGATGATTGTGCCATTTCCATTCCTAAATGCTTCAGTGTAATGTATCCCTTTTATTGCTTTGTATATATCTGAGCAGATGGATAGTAGGAAAACATTTTGATATATTGTTAAATGCTTTGTCTAAATGTAACTGACAATTTTTGCCTCCATGTTGATCAGGAAGATCAGCTTACAATTTTCTTGCTTATGTATATCAGGATAATACCAGCTTCACCAAAGAGTTTTGTGTCATTCCCCACTCCTTTTCTGCTTTCTGAAAGGGATTCCAGAGTGTTGTGTTCATTCTTGGGAGAATTCAGCAGAGAACACATTTGGTCCAGGTTTGTTTCAGTTGGGAGACGTTTTTTATTGTTATTTAATCTCACTGTTTGTTGAATTCTAAAATTCTGTGTTCTCTTGTTAAATTTTTAGTGAATCATAGTATAGAATACTATTTATTTATTTTATATTTTCTAATTTATTTTGGTGCCTTTTAAAAAGAAAGGTGGCTATACTAATATTCTTTCCTGAGACTCCACTGCCATGTGAGGGACTTAGTGCATTTTCTGTATTGGGTTGAGTGGTGTCTTAGTTTCTTTTGCTGTTGCTATGGTAACACACCTTGGCAAAGCAACTTAAAAAAAGTTTATTTTGGCTCTGGGTTGTAGGGTACAGTATATTGGTGGAGAAGTCCTGGATGCAAATAGAGGTAGCTTGTCACATGGCATCAGCACTGAGGAAGTAGAGAACCACGATGTGCCTGAGCTCCTAGCTTCCTCCTTTTTATGAAGCCCAGAACTCAACCCTAGTGAATAGGTCTGCTTTAGAGTGGGTCTTCCCATGAAGTTCATGGTAGCACATGCCTTTAATCTGGTGGTGGAGACCAGTGGATCACTGTGATTTGAAGGCCAACCTTGCCTACATAGTGAGTTCAGGACAGCCAGGACCACAAAAATAGACCCTGTCTCCAAACAAGCAAAGAAACAAAACATGAAGTTGGTTTTCCTGCTTCAAGGAAACCCATCAGAATAAGCCCTCACAAACATGGCCAAGTGAAGTTCATCATGATAATGCCTCACAGATGTGCCTGAGGCTGGGCTCCCAGGTGACTCCAGAGCTCCGTAAGTTGACAGCACTAACATCACAAGGAGGTAATGCCAGGTCTCATAAGGCGGAGGTGGGAGTCCTTCTGCTTTCTGAGTTGCTTATTTCATACAAAGTACTAACTGGGTCCTCAAAGACAAAAACAAAAAACAAAAAATAAAAAACAAACAAACAAAAAAACAACCAGACACTAGGCAAAGAGAACTCTAGAACTGGCCAGGACAGATCAAATCTGGTTCTCAGGTTGAGTTTGAATTTGAATGCCCCCAAGTAACTACAGAATTGGGAGGGAATGCTATATATGATTGGTAGGAATCTCATGCTGGGAGAAGGAAAAAGCTGGGAGTCTAGTGCTTTGTCCAAAATGGGAATGTGTTTCCCAGGGAATGAGTTTCATCCAATTCTGACAACTTATTGGACCAAAGTGACAAGACAGTGATGGATCAGTGATGGGCTGGACCAAAGATGGACCCTCGGACCCTTGGAAAGGCAACAGAAAAGTGACTTCAAATACACGCTCAGCTTGGGGAAGGTCTTCCTCTTCGACTGAGCTCACAGCTTCAGGAGGGACACACGTGGAGTGGTGAGGAGGAAGGGGACACCCGCCTAGCCAGCCAAAGCAGCCAAATTAACTCTGGTGTTCAATAGGATGACAAATGTCACAGCAGATTGCCCTCACATCAGGGGGTAAACAAGGTCACATGTCTGGGAAATGGGAACTTGGACTATTCTGGAAATCTCCTCCCCATCTTTATAAAAGGAGTAAACAGCTGTTGGAGGAGTATATCCAACCAACCAATCTGTAGAGAGAGGACACTCCCTGGCTGGAGAGCTGCCTGCAAGCTGTGCAGAGAACACCAGGGCTGCAGCCTTCTTGAGTGTTCACCATGTTAGGGTGGGCTTTTGGTGGTGCAGCTGCTTTTGAGTCTCTGCTGCTCCTGTATGTAACCCCTCATCCATACTCCTGTTAGGAACCCCAGGGGAAACAAAGCTTGCTCACCATGGCTCCCTCAGCCTGCTTTCTTAGACAACACAGGACCACATAGCTAGGGACAGCACTGCCCATAGTGGGTGGAGCCCTGCAACTGATCAAGAAAAATCCCTACAGGGGTCTGATGGAGGAGTCTTCTCAGCTGAGTTCCCTCTTCCCCATGACTCCACCTGTGTCATATTGAGCAACCAGCACGGTCACCAAAGAAAGAGCTGTCTTGTTGGGGCAGATTCCTCCAAATTGAAACATTTCCTCCAGGAGTGACATGGAAGCTCCTGAAACTCAGAATAAAAGGGAGAGTAATTACCAGGGTTATAGAAGCAGAAAATAACAGCTGGGGGAGGGGACTTTGAGCAGTTGAACTGCCATGAGGAGATTCTAGGACCTGTCTCCTGCCTTCAAGCTATGCAGAGAGATGCAAGGGTTGCAGTCTTTGCTTGTGTTTGGAGACTTCAGTGATGCAGCTGCTCTTTTGTGTAACCCCTCAGCTATGCTACTGATG